TGATAACAAGATAGTGGTGTGTTAATGTTGACCTTGATGAGGAGTACTGTTGTTTGTTAATGTTGACCTTGATTAGGAGAAAGTGGTGTGTGTAAATGTTGACCTTGGTGACAAGATTCTGGTGTGTGTAAATGTTGACCTTTATGACAAGATACTGGTGTGTTAATGTTGACCTTGACGACTAGATACTGGTGTGTGTAAATGTTTACCTTGATGACAAGATACTGGTGAGTAAATGTTGACCTTGATAACAAGGTAGTGGTGTGTGTAAATGTTGACCTTGATGAGGAGATACTGGTGTGTTAATGTTGACCTTGATTAGGAGATAGTGGTGTGTGTAAATGCTGGCCTTGATGATGAGAGAAATGTGCAAAGATAAAGCTTTGATAAAGAGATATTGGTACATAAATATAGGTCTTGATGACCTAGTAGAGGAGACCCTTTATACAAATGTTGGACATGATAACATGCTGGATTAGTGTGTCAATGTCAGTCTTATTATGATATACTGTACAAAAGTCGATGCGAAGTCACCATTTAACTTTAAAATTATTCTGGTTCATGTTAAATTGTCTTAACAGTTTGGTTAAGTTTCGGCAGCTATGGTTCTATGGACACATTTACATGTATATAAAAATAGGAATTATCTGGTTCCTCTATTGGCTCATTATGTTTTATAGCAAGTTTGGTCAACGTAGGGGAAATAACATGGAACTTATGCTGCAGACAAACTTCCGTATAAAAATAACAAAGGGCCATATCTCTTTATGAAGTGGGGCACGAGACCCGATTTTAGAATGAGACACTCCTACTTCCCAAGATACATAAGTATAGCAAGTTTGGTCAACGTAGGTGAAATAACATAGAAGTTATGCTGTGGACAAACTTCGGATTTAAAAATAAACAAAGGGCCATAACTCTGTATAAAGTGGGGCATGAGACCCGATTTTAGAAACGAGACCCGATTTTAGAATGCGATACTCCTACTTCTCAAGATACATAAATATGGTATGTTTGGTCAACGTAGTCGAAATAACATTGAACTTATGTTCCAGACAAAGTTTGGTGTTAAAAATAAAGGACCATAATTCTGTATATAGTGGGGAGCACGAAACCAAATTCCAGTGCTCTGCAAACTTTATAAGAATGTTGCAGGTATACTTCTAGTTTGATCAAGATATCTTTAAAATTTACAGGCTGGACAAGAATTTACTGAAAATGTTGCACTTATTAGACCTTTGACCTTCATGTGAAGGTCACAGTGACCTAATTCCAGTGCACTGCACACCTATGGGTAAAGCAAGCATACCCCACATTTGATCAAGATATCTTTAACGGTTTAAAAGTTATGGCCCTGACAATTTGCGATTAGAAGAACCAGTACTAATACAATATGTCGCCCTTCATTCAATGGGGAGACATAATAAAACAATATCTCAGAAAATACACCCATCAAAACAGGTTTAGAGAACATGATATTTATTTATTTTCACAGATATGAATAATGAGATTATACAAGTTACAGCAGCCAGCATATATATATATATTAATTATTGTTGTATTCACTGGCGACTCAATTAGTACTTCTGCCTAAGAGTTCAGAGGAAGAAGGTTCCAACGTAGTTATCAACTCGAAGATTGCCAATTTTTTTCATATTTATATTCTCAAAATTTATGCCAAAAAAAAGGGCTCTATTTGGAAAATACACCCATCAGTTTAGAGAACATGATACTTATTAATTTTCTCGGATATAAATACTGAGGTTACAAGCAACAGCCAGCATATCAATAACTGTTTTATGTTTAGCAACACTGGACTGGGTCATTTACTGGCGACCAGGTAGCTCAATTAGTGCTTGCCTTCCATCTAGAGTTCAGAGTCAGAAGGTTACAATGTAGTTATCAACTCCAGGTAACTATATGTACTTCTTTATTTCAAGGTGTTTAATTGTGTATAATCTAGTACCAGGTAGTGTTCAGGATATTATTTAATTGCTTGTACATGTAAAATCCAGATTTTTTTTAGATAATACCATCTTGGGATTTATTCAATACAAATAGTTATTATTCAATTTTGAAAATAAACAAAATATTCTTTAATGCCTGGCAAAATACATCTATCTACATGTACGTACACTATGCAAGGTTATTAAAATTTCATTTAAGTTCATTGATATTTTTGCTCAGGTTGCTGTTGTCTATCTTATATATTATAAACAGCAACCTTCATGAGGAGCAACTAAAAAAAATATTTTTAGCTTTACATACTGAAAGTATGCTGGACCATTATGATCGTTACCAAGATATGAAGATTTTGTTTATCTTACACCCCTAATACAAATTACAAGTCAGAAGTAAACAAGTCATGAAGATGTACATGTGGATGACATTGGTTACATGTCAGAAAGGTGTCTGCAGTGATGCAACAGTTACAAGTCTGTATCAACATGTGTTTCAAGTCAGAAACGTGTCACTGACATAGGATTTACAAGTCAGAATGTTACTGGCTACCCCTAATGCTATCGGAAAGGTGTCAAGCTTGTCAATCGATTCATAATGTTCAGGTCACCACTAGTGAGTATCATCAGTTATCAAAATGGTGTATATATTGGTATATATCTATCATGTAAAAACACATCAAACGACAACTCAGTCAAAAATAAATAACATTCATATAAGATAATATGATTTATTACTGCTTTTGACAAGTAGCCAACACAGCATAAATAAATATATATCTGCATAGTGCATATAGGTTAAAAATCTCTCCTACTTTGTTGCTAAATAATTACTTACCACACATGAACTGGTCAAGTGAAACCAGGTTCATCCTTGTTGTTAACTAATAACTTTAATATCTTGAGAGTTCATTCCAGAAGTCAGCACATTATAAACTAGAATGCTTCACTTTGACTTTGAAAGTGAGGCATAGAAAACTGAAGAATTTTCTGTTATTTGGACAGTGGAAAATCTGCATGGAAGCTGACATTATTTACTGAAAGTGTACTGCTTGAAAATGCTTCCCATTTTTTTTTCATAATCAGTTTTTCTCAAAATTTAAGCCAAACAGGCTCTTTTGGTACATTCATGGAATGAATCTCAAGATGAATTTTAAACATGGAATGATGATGATAATAACAAGTATATATAAAGAGATACAATTGCCACAGTAATAACAATATACTTACAACCTGAAACAAAGGTTCATCATTAGGTTAGTGTTGTTCTCCATTAGGCCCATACACACACACACTTGTTCACTCATAAATGTCAGGGTACATGGGTATGTGGGGAAAAGAAGTGATATTGGTTGGTTTATAAATTCTGATAAATCAAAATGCCTAGTGATCTATCTATGTATGTCGGTGGAATTATGAAATAAAATCTTTCCATCAGTGTTATATTAGTCTATAACCTTAGCATTGGTTAAATTCAAGAACTATGCGCCGTTATTACAACTACGGAAAAAAACCCAATATCCTTCGGTAAACAAACTGTTAAAAATTGTTTAGAGAGATTTTTTATGGATTTTAAAATTAAATAACCAAATTTTAAAAACTCCTGGGCCGTCTCTGTATACCTCTATTAAGAAAAACTGTTGCGAAAATGTTCATTTAAGGACAGTTCAGGATTTTGATTTAACAAAATTTATAAATGGGAATCAGAAAAGGACATCACTGTTATCAAAAAAATGAAAATAAAAAATAACACGTATGAGCACAACTACCTAAGGTATTTATCTAAATGAACAAGGTCTCATAAGCACTTTCGACAAATCTTGGAATGGAGCATATAACTCTATAGAAATTTTGGAAACCCAAAATAAATCACAAACACACATTTCTTATGATGTGCACAAAGTTACATAAGTATCTGTCAAAAAGGTAAGTAGGAGAATATCAGACAGAATGTATACAAGGATATCAGAAAAGGGACATCATTCTGTAACATTGGTTGTATTAAAATATTAATCGCTGGTGTACAACTTCAGTGTGTTGACTACCCCAGATAAACCATATTAATAGTAAATATTGAGTTACTTCATTATTCATTTACAAATTATTAACATTGTATCAATATTGCTAATCGAAACATTTTTTTTTCAATTTTCTTTTAATGAAACTGGAACTAAATTGGAAAAAGTGGTACATCATAACTTGTAGCCTAACAGTTACGGATGAAGTAAGTGTGGGTTAATTTAGTTTTACAACTAGTTCTGCTTGATTGAAAAACTAGGACCTCTGATCTGTAGCCTATTGGCCACATGTGTGTCTTTGTAAAGTATCAATCCAGGTTATATGGCATTCCTCACAAGTTCCATATATCAAGGAATTTGAAACTATGGTATCAATACGCTTTGACAAGTTTTGCATAGATTAAATGGGATTACAGTATTAGTACAATTTGAACTCTTGACCTTTCCCTTGCCCTCATACTCTCTGACTCTCGCTCATAAAATAACAACAAAACGCAGAGGAAAAACAGAACAAGATAAACAAGGCTGACAACTCTGCTGGGTTTTCCAAATTTTATGTCGGCATGACAACAGAAATAACATCACAGCTACATGATGCTACATCTCTGAGAATATCGATGTTAATGTCACGACTATGTTATTACTGTGGCATGTCTACAACGGTCACATTTATCTAACTTCAGTAATATCCATAGCTTGGTTGTTAACATACATAAACATAATTACTACAGTTCTCATAATTAAAACATACCTGTGAAACTGGCATTTACTTGATAAACAAAAATAGGATGTATAAAAACATGATTAACAGTCTGTTCTGGTCAATTATTAACCGACATTGATTACTTCTCAATATCTTTCTGCATTTATTTTTTATGAAATATTTCAATTTGTGATATGCCTGTAAGTCAAAGACAATTATTTCTCCAATCTTTAAGAATCTTAGAAGATTTATATGAGAGTTATATACTAGTAGACAAGAAAAGACTGCTGTTATATGTTGCTTCAAGTAAATTGATATAACCTCCTGTTCTATGTAAATCCTCCAGTACTTCCCAGCGTTGGCAAATTGTGCTACAAGTCGCTCGTACACCTGTCTCGCAACTTCTATGGTCTTCATCTGAAACAAACACAAACTCCTTTTATAATTTACTAAACAACTGTCCACAACAAGGCACATTTGAATTTCACTTAGTGTATCAAATTTTGTTTCAGATCAAGACATTAAACAGGACTGAAAACAAACATTTAATAGATATTTTTTACTAACTACATTAAGCTGTCACTATTGTTTAAGAAAAAAAGGGTTTAGATTTTTTCTTTTAATTTTCAATATACGTATCCAAACTGGAAACAAAACTTAGACGTTGGCAAATCAGTTTTTACACCTAGACATGAATCTCTTTTTTTCTTTTAAATATTATATGCTGTGTTACGTCAGGACTACAGACTAGCTTGCCAGTTCCTTAGCTTGACAACACCAAACTTTAGCTACCTGTGCATCCCTGATGAGAACACTCCATGCTTCCGTGTCGTATGGATGGGCCTCTATCCGCTTTTCTGCTTTCTTCAATTTGTCAGGGATGTAACCATGTTGCTAAAATTTGACACAAGACAGAGTAAACATGTTACAGAGAAATTCTCGACAGCTCAAAAATTATTGTATTTTTGAGTGAATACATCCAAGTTTCTTGTGTCGTTGTTTTCATATTCACTAGTTTTCAATTACTGAAGTTTTGATTCAAGACTTTTAAACATATTTTTATAAATTTAAAAAAAAACATGTATTAATATTGAATTCAATATTCATTGGTCATTTTTCGTCACAGTCAATATGCTTTAAAACGACATAAAATAATCATAAGTACATTTCAATACACATTTGAAACAAGCAAAAGACATTGGTTTCAATCATGAAATAGTTGAAATGGTAAATTGTTCAACTCAATCTTATTATGTACAACAGCAGAAAAGTCACCTGAAACTAGGAATACCTTTTTAACTGTTCATGAATTGGAGAGCTATCAAATTATCATGAAAGAGTGAAGGCCAACTAAATAGTGGTCAGAGTCAGGGGAGATAACTGGAAATATTTTGCATGGTAAATATAGTTTGTTCATGCATCTCCTATAGAAAATGTCACAAAAAAGGTTGTAATTGAACATTAATCCATTAGAAGAAATATTAAAAAGATTATAAATATGTCAGAATAACAAGTGGCTCTCAAAAGGTAATAAACTGATAAAAATATCGTTATATTTTGGGATTTGGTTCTTATTTTTTTTCTGTTTTTGGTCCAAAACAATACAGAAACTGAATGCATGACAGGACTAGCAGAATAAAATGATGTATTTACATAATGATCTCTCTCTTGATCTGTAAATAGAGCATACATCTTTACATTGTAAGTACTGCATATTCTTCATTATAAACAGTGTCAGTATCATTAACTGGATATGCATTAATTAATTCAAGCTACTACATCAAGCTATTTGGTATCAATTTAGGATTTTATGGAACATGTCTGGTCTTTTTAAATTTGGGGGGGGGGGGATAATCACTGATTCAGTTTATTAGGTACATGGTTTGGAGAGCCAGTTCTAGTAACATTGTTTTACTCATATGGATGTACCGTCTCGGCAACATGTAAGTTAGGATAGTGAAGGCAATCGTGACTTGTTTATCAGAATATACATCACATTTGGAAAAAGTCTACACATCAGCAAGGCTTTCAGTTGACCCTTGACATTAATACAACTCATTCACCCATAGACACCATTACACAATTCAAAATCAAAGGTTGGAATAGTTCATTATGGAACTTTAGGGGTGAATGAGTTCAGCAATTTTAGAAGTCAATTAACATTTTCCCTAAAATTTTATAACAAATGTCAAATAAACGTCCTTTCAAACACGAGAGTCAAAGCTCATTTTGGAGGCAAAAAGATGTTCCCAACAATATACTGCAAGAGTTGTAGTCTCGGGGTAAATTGTTTACATATTTAGAAAATTAATTTACGTAATTTCATGCAATAATCTCCGGTTTCAGTTTACCCGCCGGGTATGCGAGATATAAAGTGGTAAAGCTATAATAGGTCAGACTTTAACAGAAACAACTTTCTCTCATTCCTTAGCATTTTGCAAGAAACTCATATTTACCATCCTGTTGTACATAATTACACAACAACAAAGTTCCACAACAAAAAAGTGAAGTCACAATATTTCTGATGCAGAAACTGCAACACTGTTCTGTTGATTCTGAACAATTTCTTCTGATTGGAGTTGTACAAAAAAATACTTTTTCAAGTCCAGGGGTGCAAGATAGGAAAATTCCACCATCAGAATTTTCAAATTTGTGCTCAACTCTTGGCAAGCCTCAGGTTTTACCCAATTTGAAAAACCCTTATGTGGTGTTTCCTTGTACGACGTACATACTAAACCCCTAGGTGTGAAAGAGTCTTGTCCTCTACATTAGCTGTGGGACTGCAATGCTGATTATCAAAATGCTCACATCATAACGGACGTCGCATTACAAAACCATCCAATGTTTTCTTGCAGCACTAGGGACAACTTGTGCATTTCAGTGGCGACAACTATTTTATAGTACACTACAGCAATATAAAAGTGTAAGAGTTAAAATGGATTTAAGTGTAGACTAGCTGGTAGCACACTTGGCAACTTATAAAATAAAATGCGTGTATTTATACACTCTAGGGAAAAAAACAATCAGCAGTTCTTGGCGGGGGAAAGAAAAGGCTTTACTTAGCTGCAATAACGTAGCTTCTGATGAGACTATTTATATTTATTGTGGGGCATACAAGGCCAGGTACTTATTAGAGCTGTTACGAGTACCAGAGTATGGGTCGGTTAAGATTGGAAATCAAGTTTGAAAATGTGTACCCGGGTATACATACGTACCCAGGGGCGGACGTAATGGGAATGTGGCCCCGACACTTTTCAAAAAGTTTTTTTTTTTTTATCGTAATCTGCTAATATTGTATTGAATATGGCAATTTATCATATTCATTAATTAAACACATAAACACCCTGACACTTTAACTATAAAATATACATGCTCCAAGTCAGGAACCGTTACATTAGTGCATTTCACAATTATTTTATGTTTTTTAGCAAACAAAAGGTCCAAAAAAGATTTGATTCTACGCCCCGGGCCTCTTTCAAATATCCTAGAAACGCCCCTGGTACCCGCCAAAATAATAATATTAATACTCATTACAAATGTCTTGCTCTAATCTTCCCATTCATTTATTACTATACGTACATATTAATTTGCGTCCATATGTTGAAGACATCTGGAAATCTGCTAGATACATTGTGTGTTTAGATGTACTATTTGTTTACAGTACAGTAACATTTGGCAAAACTATCATGCATTAGATCACAGGATTTGGTATCCATTTTTCTTTTTCAAAACTTCACTTCAGATCAAGATTGACCAGACAACAGCAAACCTTCAAGCATAAATACATGTCCTACTGTTATAGAATATTCCTATTGCTCTCGGAATGTACAGCTCTGAATTGGCGTGAAACGTTATATTCGATTGCATTTTTGGTGACAATATTTTAGAAAATGCCTGTTTTCAATTTTTTGAAAATTGCACTAAAATTTTCATAATAGCATGAATGGTGCTGTATGCTACGCGTATTTTTTAAGATCGAAGTTGAATACAAGTTCATCAGTATATAATATATGCCCAATAAATTAAAAGCTTCAACAACATTTGAGGAACAGATATATCGACGATACCCGGAATCGAAGTCATGTCTGTCAGTGTTGTTTTACCCTAGAAAGCAACACGTTAGCCATCCCACATGACACATTCAATGTCCTCTCATCCAACTGCAGGCACACACATAAATTAACAACACATAGACAAACAGGTAAATGCATCAAACAATATAGAATATTTTCGTTTAACGGCTAATTTACACATTATCTTACCTCGGGGGGTAAAACCCCGGTAGTTTGAGTCGATCCTGTCTGTGCCATTTTTACGCGTTACAATAAAGACAAAAGTAGATATTGAATATACAAGTAAAATTATCCTTCAGTGTTATCAGTTTTATTGTAAGATGAAAGTCGCGGCATCGTGACAATCAAGAAACAGCAGCAAACCCGTCGCCTTCGTCGCTACATCTTATAGAGCACGCTTTCAACACGCAAACATGGCTCCGTCTTGGTGTTTCGTGAATCGTTTTGATTGGTGAATATTGCCGACAAGTAGAGGGAGATAACTACAAAAGCTAAAATAAAGGTTGCATGTTACTAACAATTATGAGTCTACGCTGTATTTGTCAAATCTATTAAAAAAAATAAAAAAAAAATCAAAATTAATACTTACTGATAAACGAAATACATTTATAATTTATCGTCCGATTTCGTGTTTTATTATTTTTATTTTACAGCTATAAAAGTCAGAAGTATTTTTGGTATTTTTTAATGTATTTGTAGATGTATCCTATTAAAAGTTAAAATGTGTAGTGAGTAAACTTAAAATTCCTTTTGAAAAAGAACACAATTATTTCAATCATAAAACCATTTTTTAAAGTTATTATAAAAATAACCATTTTTTTCTAATGATAATTAACCAATCATGAATTCTTATTTTGTGAACTATTATCAATCTTATATATATATATATAGTTTAAAAAAAATTGGGCTCTGATGTAGAACTGCGTCCTCGTCGCAGAGCCTGGTAACATTCTAATAGAATGGCGAAGAGTTCTACTTGATAACGACATAGATTGACAGAGTGATGTCCCCTTAGCACGGGTACGGGAGTAAACAAAACTCCCCGCGATCCTCGCCCGCGATCACAACAAAGTCAGAATTTCATGTGAAATATGTCGTTTATTTCATTGAAACTTACATAATTATAAACAGTAAGGTATTTTGTTCTATATATCTGAAAATAACATGTTAATTTTCACTCAATATCTAATTATATATGAAAAACCGTGATTTTCACGGTTGACTGCGGCGTACAAGTTTTACCCCCTTGAAATAAACATTATCGTCAATTTCTAAATTATTAGATGATAAATTTACATTTTTGTAAGTGTCACATTTAGAAAATAATGTTTGAAATTATTGTATAATTTTATAAAAAATATAAACGATCGCGTTAATGAGATATTAAAATATCTCTATATGCCTGGTACGGGGTTTTGGGACGGGAGCGGGAGCGGGGTACACGATTTACCTACCACCTTGATAGTTGTTGATCATGATTCATCCAATCACGTTAAAAAATAGGAAATGTATGTTTACACATAAACATGTTTTATATGTCATAAGTGTTTTTTTTTTTTTTTTATCTTTATTTTAGTTTTATTTTATCTATCAATTGAAGGGAGACCGGGGCAACTTTGGCGGCGGGGTTTCATGTTCGGTTACACCTGATATATTGGGTCAAAAATTTGGGAGCAAATATTAACAATTTTGAGGATCTTAGAAGTTCGCTTGACTGGACCAGAAACGTTATATTCAAACTGTTAGGGGAAAGTCATTGAAAATCTCAATTATATAATACCAAATATGTGTATTATTGATATACTAAATAGGCTTAACCAATGGAATATGGAACGCCAAATTAACATATTTAATTACTTGTACCTACATGTGTATCTTCAAATAATTGAAGATAATAGTGCAATTAATTGAAGATAGGTTCAATTCAATTGAAGATAGGTTCAATTCAATTGAAGATATGTTCAATTCAATTAGAGATATATTCAATTCAATTGGGAATGTGTTGTTTTTGTACCTAGGTTCAATTCATTTTTACCTAGGTTCAATTCAATTGAAGATATGATCAATTCAATTGGAGATAGGTAAAGTTCAATTGGAGATAGGTACAAATAATTGTACATATCTTTAATTATGTAAAGATAGGTACAATTGAATTGAACTTACCCTCAATTATTTGTATCTTTCTTCAATTGAATTGTCCCTATCTTCAATTGAATTGTCCCTATCTTCAATTGAATTGTACCTATCTTCAATTATTTGAAAGGTGCAATTATTTGTATATATGTTTATTTGGCGTTCTATATATTTGCGGACTTTTGTTAACATGAAGCCTATAGCTTTGACGTTCATTCGTCGATCGCTGTAATATACGATTTAATTAATATTCGGGACAAGTTCGGCCAATAGCTGAAAAGTCGTGACAGTGGCGGGAAAATCTGATGACGTCATAATAGTGCTGGACCAAACTTACTCCAGACTGTCTGTCCGAACTTGTCACAATGCAGGTTATAACTTCTGCTGTAGGAAGGAAACCTTGGTTATAACTTCTGCTGTAGGAAGGAAACCTTGGTTATAACTTCTGCTGTAGGAAGGAAACCTTGGTTATAACTTCTGCTGTAGGAAGGAAACCTTGGTTATAACTTCTGCTGTAGGAAGGAAACCTTGGTTATAACTTCTGCTGTAGGAAGGAAACCTTGGTTATAACTTCTGCTGTAGGAAGGAAACCTTGGTTATAACTTCTGCTGTAGGAAGGAAACCTTGGTTATAACTTCTGCTGTAGGAAGGAAACCTTGGTTATAACTTCTGCTGTAGGAAGGAAACCTTGGTTATAACTTCTGCTGTAGGAAGGAAACCTTGGTTATAACTTCTGCTGTAGGAAGGAAACCTTGGTTATAACTTCTGCTGTAGGAAGGAAACCTTGGTTATAACTAATGCTGTAGGAAGGAAACCTTGGTTATAATTTATGCTGTAGGAAGGAAAGGGCACATTCGACTCTCAATCTCCCGACAGAAAGAAAGAAATGATTCTTGAGATACGGACGTGTTTGTCTTTTTTAATGATTGATGAGTTGATAGGTATGTACAATATTTCTTTCAAATGGTATATTTTGAATATCCACATAACTTTAACAAATGCTATTAATGTAGTCAAGAATGAAGAATGAACTTGCACTTGTCTTCCATAAGGCTATGTAACCTGGAAAAAAACTTGATAATGTGAAGCAATCTCAACAGGGTTTTGATACAATGCAGTTTGGGGATCGAGAAAAGAAAACACCTGCTGCTATCGTAAGAGGCGACTAATGTGAGAACCCCTGCAGATTGGGGATTTACTTTTGTGCCCTTTACTTGGGGACACAAAAGCGATTATAAAAAATCTGCTGCACCTATTACAATTATTGGAATCTTTGTATTTCTCTCTACTTCTAACTACCTTTTATTTCCTAGTGCCTTGCTTGGCAATACCTCACTTTTGGCTTCAATGTTGAACGTTCGCCCAGGCGAGGAGGGCATTTGGTCCTGCCCACAGGCCGGGACACACCAAAGTCCTTAAAATGGTAGTTGTGATTCACTGTTCAACGTTCAGCAGGGGTAATGGCAACAACAGGTTAACCCGTTATCAGTATAATGTGACCGGGCAGAATGCTGTGCTGGGTTCTTTCGGCATGGTATTTCAGTGAGATAGCACTATAAAGTCGACATCAGATACGCGCTATCACAACGAGGCAAGTACACCAACATACCCTGTCTCCGACACACATACACACATGCATGCTTACACATTACACATGGAGGCACGTCCTTAAAAATGACCTTAGCTGTTAATAGGACGTTAAACAATATAAAGCCAAGCCAAATATGAGATATCTTATATGCGATATGAGATATCTTATATACGATATAAGATATCTTATATACGATATAAGACATCTTATATACTATATGAGATATCTTATATCGTATATTAGATATCTTATATCGTATATTAGATATCTTATATCGTATATACGATATAAGATATCTTATATCGTATATAAGATATCTTATATACTATATGAGATATCTTATATAATATTTAAGATATCTTATATACTATATGAGATATCTCATATAATATATAAGATATCTTATATACTATATGAGATATCTCATATAGAAATTAAATGAGATATCATATATAAGTATATAAGATATCATATATACTATATAAGGTATCTCATTTAATTTTCTATATAAGATATCTCATATTTTATATAAGATATCTTATATAATTGAAATCTCGTTGCTATATAAGATATCTGATATAGAATGAGATTTCGTGGCATTAAAAACCAGAAACTAATTTCTCCCCCGAGAATCATTCGGAGCACATTCAGGATTGCATTGGGCGCCACTGTCCTTTCATAGATGGAATCTGCTGTATTTTCCCTAGGCCTAGCTCGCCTTGTCTCTCTTATAGCGGTCAAAGCAGAGGCTGCCATTTCCCGCACTCTTGAATTGGGCTCTTACATAATGGCGGCGACAGGAACACGTGTTGTTACAACAAGCCTACTGTCCCTACGTAGATCCTCGAGATATTCCGGACGGGGAGACTTCATTTCCGACATTTTGTTAAAATCTCGTTCCTATTTAGATATCTTATTTAGTAACGAGACTTAAATTATATAAGATATCTTATATAGCTATATGAGATATCTTATATATTATATAAGCTATCTTATATAGAAAATAAAATGAGATATCTTATATACGATATAAGATATCTTATATATTATATAAGATATCTTATATAGCATCTCATTTAATTTCTATATAAGATATCTCATATAGTATATAATATAAGATATCTCAAATACTATATAAGATATCTCATATACTATATGAGATATCTTATATACGATATAAGATATCTTATATAGTATATAAGATATCTCATATGCTATATAAGATATCTTTTTTTTTTTTTTGGAATATAGGATCGACATTGCTCCTTGAATAAATGTTAAGTTGGCTTGCCATATGAATGAGCTTATATTCCAGCACAAATACCACTCCATGTTGCCATTCAAGGATATTCATCCGAGACATTGCCTCCAATTTTCTTTTCAAAGACCTGGCACGAGTTAGTATTCCAAGGTGCTAGGACCGGTCAGCGTTGTTTTAAACATTTTGAAATAATATTACATCTCACCTGAAGCATTTCATCTTTAAAGGCATTTTTTAGTTTGGAACATGTAATCAGCAATTTCGTTTTCGTCTACGGGGTCATAACCTTTTCAAGTGGTTGTGTGTGTTGTATAAGTTGTCTGTTTTGACTACGCCTTATCTTGAAAAACATCATCACCATCAGCATCATCATCATCATATGAAAAATCATCCTCATCATTATCACCATCACCATCAGTTAATAGGGTTTCTTGTAGAATTTAATTTGAAATGTATGAGACTTTCTTAAGATATTTAACAAACTTGAGGTAAAATCGGAGCACGAATAAAACTAAAACAACTATGTATTATATATACGCGTTATATACATAGAGGATACCAGTTGAATACTATGTATGTTTCACTTATATTGGAGAATGCCAATAATTTTTCACAAGTGTTATTTCATAATTGCAGTTGTACTTTCATTTTTGCATACTTTCAGATTACAAAATAATGTTTATTATAACGTTGATATGTTAACCTATATTTTCCATTCTATGACAATTTGTAATTAGTTTCACAAAATAGAAAAAAAGGAAAGGAAAAGAGATATCTTTATGATGAAATTAGCTTATGAAATAAGCTATTTTGTAGAAACAACGAAATTTATTAAAACAAGAAATGAGCTCTGTTCAATTCCAAGAGAAAGAAGTTCATTACTTAAATTATCAATAAGATAAGTCATTACATTGTAAAGAAAGGCAAATCGACATTACAAACATGCACATCTATGTGTAAAACAACAGATTTCCTTTCATAACGAATGGAAATGTTGTATTGAAAAATTGAACGTAAAGGAAAATTGACAATACGTTCATCGCAAAATATGAATATTATTAAACATATCTTGAGTAAGACAGTGCGTATTATAAAACTCATTAAACATCTACAACAAATCAAAACAATATTTGATGGAATAATGCTTTTAGACTTACAAATGTAAGCTGCGTTTATTTATTGTACGAATTTATTATATTTGATAGCTATACTTTATTAAATCGAACAACACATTCTCTGATAATAACCTCTGTTTTACCTGCCTTTTATGTCGATTTCAATACAAAACCATGCTAACTTCGACAGATCTTCTTTAACAATTTGAAGAATGAAAAATAGTAGTCAAAACAAGTTCTAATTTTAATTGGAACCATTACAAAAGTCCACAAAACAGACCCGAATCGCAAATGCCATATTGGAAATAGTTTGCGATGCAGTAAAACACGTATATACTCAATTGTGACATAGAGATGGGCTGTTAACACAGCACCTTGGCGTACACTTATAAATATGTTAATCAATCAATCAAGAGGAAGAATGGTGACAACAAGAAAAGCAGCAAAAGCAAAAAGTCCCTAAACGGTAAATAAATTACATAAGAATTTAAAATGCAAAGCCTTAGCAGTTTGGATAATGTAGCAATATACAAGGGAAAACATAATATAATATCAGCAATCAAATACAATCTTAATACATTTCGTTTTAATTTAAATTTCCATTATTCAATGAGACATTTTATTCTTCATCTATTTAGCAAACAGAGCGGTGAAAATATATTGCAATGATAAGCCATCAACTTTGACGAATAGTCTTATAAATGGACCCAATTTCATATTTATCAGAGTAAATTCAAAAGAAGACTCCACCCAATTATATTGACCAACAATGTTCGGTCAAACAACATTTTACCAGAGTCGTTTGATTCTGATGATACCACAGTACCAACTCAATATTACTCTCATCATTTGATCGTTACATCACTTACTAAACCGAATCGATACTTTCCTAGGTTAATATTTAGGTTAGTTTATCCATTCCATCTGTTGTCATTTCGACCACTGATCACATCAGCCATGACAAAATAAAATAAAAAGTAATCCTACGGCCTATCCACATCATACAAATTGCATACAAAAACTATGAAAAATATACCAAACTGTGAAAAACGGATGAAGACACACACAAATGATTTTATGATAACAAAACAAACAGTTGTGCATTAAAATAATAATAATAATAATAATAATAATAATAATAATAATAATAGGTTTTATCAACAACAATGTAAAGTTGAACATGGCTAATCCAGCTACTATTGAAACGGTTGTCTCGCTATCCCACCTCCTCATTCCAGCCACCAGTACGTTGCCCCAGTATAAAACATTATTTTATAATTACCAGCTACCACTAATATGGTTGGTTGTACATCTATCAAGCTTTACCAATCTAACTACAACTTATATAAGTTGCCCCAGTATAAAACATTGTTTTATAATTACCAGCTACCACTAATATGGTTGGTTGTACATCTACCAAGCTTTACCAATCTAACTACCATTTATATACGTTGTCCTGGTATAAAACAATGTTTTATAATTACCAGCTACCACTAATATGGTCGGTTGTACATCTACCAAGCTTTACCAATCTATCTACCACTTATATACGTTGTCCCGGTATAAAACATTGTTTAATAATTACCAGCTACCACTAATATGGTTGGTTGTACATCTATCAAGCTTTACCAATCTAACTACCATTTATATACGTTGTCCCGGTATAAAACAATGTTTTATAATTACCAGCTACCACTAATATGGTTGGTTGTACATCTACCAAGCTTTACCAATCTAACTACCACTTATATACGCTGCCCCAGTATAAAACATTGTTTTATAGTTACCAGCTATCACTAATATGGTTGGTTATACATCTATCAAGCTTTACCAATCTAACTACCACTTATACGTTGTCCCTGTATCCAGCCTCCTTAATGTAGCCAACACTAAAACTATTGTCCCACTATCAAGCCTTGATAATCCTGCCCCTCAAACTAATACAGCAACCCCGTGAATCCAGCTCTCAAAACTTCAGTTGTCCTACTGTTCAGCCCGTGATCTGGGGCACGACTTGACATTTTCTTCTACATTTTATCCTAAAATTATCTGATGAGAACAAAAATGTACTTGATTGTCGAGACTGTACCTTATATACATGACTATGATTGTTAATTTAGAATATATTTTATATTACAACCTAAAACAACTTACAACACTAAATTACCCTTTTTTAATATTATGCTAAACTATTTTAAGTGTACATACATGTTATTGTGAATACAAAATATAATAAAATGGGTGCACAATATACGTTAATTTCATAATATTTAAGACAATATGTTTGAATAGCTTGCCTCATTGCAAGTGTGCTAAACAGAGCAGTAGCTGCTGATAGGACTGAAAATCAAACCAAACAAAACAAGACCAATTAATTCCTCACAAACAAATATGAGTCAGTGGTTTCTGCTTCATGCTCACGTACATGTAGAACATTTCTCTGTTTTCATCAAGTCTTGTGTCATTACATACAGACAAAAGAGATAATCCATACAAATAGGGATTATTTTTCTACATTATTGCTAGCACAATCTCAGCGTACATCATGAGCACTATTCGAATTGTTCTGCTAATTTAAATGGTTTCATTGTCTTGCCACGACAGAACCATCCGAATTCACTTCGTACGAATGTGTCACGCATGGTTCATCTCTAACATGTTTGCATTGTATTGGGTCTAAACATGTGCATGTATCAGTTTGAACGCAAAAACGCAGATGACTACGAATTTCTATCTGATCGAAAAGTGCCCGTAAACCATCTTCCTTTCCATTTCTGATATATATAATGTCATTGAGCACAAATGGTCCACAGTCCCAATTTGAAATTTGATTTTGTACTGGAAATTTATGTACCGTCAGTGTAGTGCCTGGGCGGAGATTGAGAAGCTTTGCAATAAGTCGCAGCGTATGTTGATTTATTTCATTATTTTTCCGATGGAGATGATCAAAAATAGTGACATGCACCTCATTGCCAATTATTGTATTAATCTGGACAGCAATGAAATGACCAAGACGACCATTCAAATCACCGCGACTTCTTGCATCTTCATATACAACAAAGACCCCCATTTCGCTGGTGGTCAGAATTGGACATGGTCGTGGCAAATCAATATTGGAAAATACCTTGCACCCCCGTAACAGAGGAAACAAATCCAAAAAAGTCTGCATTTCCTCAACTGATAATGGCAGAGAATTTAAACTTTCTACCAAACCTTCTTTTGATGAAGACGGATCAGGGATATTTACATTGAAGAAATCCTGCTCTGACATGCTTATACACAAACATCCTTTATCATATCTAGTAACTACAGACATGACTGCTGATGGACAGATAGCCTCTGATCGAGACATACAAGATGTATCATTCGGTGTCGCTTCGTCCTCACCAGATGCGTCGGAACACACATGTGCTGTTCTTGGAAAGGCCTGTTGTTGAGTTGTTGAAGTTGCATTCCATGTAAGCGACTGCTGATGTCTACCGGTAGCAGGATGTTCAGCTAACACCTCGTTGTCCTCAGTGTTATTTGTTGTGATGCTTTCCTATAACAAAATAAAAACAAAATGTAAAAGGTATGAGAATGTCAATAATTTTAAAGAAGAATTTTCATTGATTTAAGCCTTATTGCCACGCATTTCTATTTATGAAGCATTAACAACTTTAAATAGCATGTAGTGCAATGTATTTTGAATCAAGTTGGTTACCTGGTTGGCAAAATCTCTTACAGCACGACGCATTCGACGTTCTCCTTTAACTTCTAGCAGGTAGGCACAATTGGGAGAGCGACAAGCGTGCAATTTCCATAGCTTCATTGTACGATCAAGACAATCCAAGATGATACCACATGAAAAACACCTCAGTTGTGCTCCGGGTCCTGTGAACAAAACAAAATTAAACACATTTTACTGAAACATGCTCAAGGCATCCAAAACGTGTTAATTATTACGTTTATTAATGCACTCAACGCTAGTTTCAATAGGTCCATCTAAGAATATTTTTGGTAATAATATCACTTTTAATAGTTACTTTCTTGATATTGCCTGAAACAGACCTAGGTGATAACCCGGAGATCAAGGAGTTCTAGGTAATTTTAAACCTTTACTAAGTGTTTTTTTTATCGATGTCTAAGGAAATTGATTTTATGATATCGTTACATTAAACAATCTAAAGTAAAGGAGGAGTGCCAATTTGTGCCTTCTGGTGGCTATCACCGATAAGTTTGTTTTTGTATATACAAACGGAAGGAAGAATTGTTGACATAATTAAGCGAATAAATAAAAAATAACATCTAGTTTAAAAAAAGAAGAAGAGGCCATTAGAGATTTTGATCCCCCACTTTACCCCCTCATATCTCGGAATAGTCTCCAATCTGACCTTAATTTCATGTCATATTATGATGGCATAACCCCAAGGTATGTATATACATGTACAAAAAATAAAACTTGTCGGTGATAGCCACCAGAAGGCACAAATTGGCATACCTCCTTTCAACATATTTACATGCTATTTAAATTTCCGAAATTGGTCAAACCAATTTAACTTATTATCACAGTTCCTTACCCTATGTAGAGATAACCGTGTTGCATCAATGCCTATCTAATGTGACGTTTTAATGCAAACGAAATTGTTTGTGTTAATTGTTAAGAGTTCCAAGTGTGAAGAGTATGCATTATGTTTTCATGATGTGTTTCGGGAAACACAATTTACAAACGTTTACTTATATCTCACCTCAATACCTATTTTTCATCAAACGTTGATAATTGTACACAAAACCAGCGCTAAATACTAGGAAAGAGAAATTTATAATTTTGTTGGATTTTCTTACCCAAAATCTGTTTCATAATATGTCAGCAAGACTGAAACATACCAGAGTAATACAATCCAGCTTCTACAAGACGACCCTTCAATGCCTGGAGATCGGGGGCATGCTCATACGACCGTACTCGTGTGTAATAGTTGCTGAAATCTTGACGTTTTGGGCGCACATCTGGATTGACCATGGATTCAACTTGAGGACACATATTATTATAATTAATACAAGAGGCCCAAGAGGGCCTGTATCGCTCACCTGAATATTTAAGCGGTCATAGCAAAATATTCTCATTAAATATTATATTGCACTATAAATATTTCCCTCGCAAACTTTGTTGGCTCCATCTGTTGAAACTACCAGCAAAATATTATTATAAGATTCTATGCTTTTTGATTCTTCTTCAGAAGTTGCTTGACATATTTTTCCCTGTGATCTTGTAAGTAGGTCAATGTCATTTTCCTTCTCAAATTGGTTAGCTCTATTCCAAAAAGCTACCAGCCAAATCTTATGAATCCATTCCTTTTAGTTCTCAAGAACAAATCCATTAAAATGTTGTTGACCTCTGTGACCTCTAAAGTAGGTTGAGGTCATTTTCATTTGCAAACTTTGGTGAGCTCTATCCCGGGAAGTCACCAGCCAAATATTATAATTTTATGCCTTTTAATTCTTCAGAAGAAGCTGTTTGAACTGTTTGACATATTTGAACGCTGTGACCTTGAAAGTAGGTCAAGGTCATTTTCATTCGCAAACTTTGTTTGGCTCTTTCCCAGGAAGCCACCTGCCAAATATTAAGATTTTATAACTACCAGTTCTTCAGAAGAAGTCGTTTAAAGTGTTTGACATATCTGCCTCATGTGACCTTAAAAGAAGGTCAAGGTCATTTTCATTCTCAAACTTTGTTCGGCTCTTTCCTAGGAAGCTACAAGCCAAATATAGAGATTATATACCTTTCAGTTCTTCAGAAGAAGTCGTTTGAAGTGTCTGACACATTTGACTCCTGTGACCTTGAAAGAAGGTCAAGGTCATTTTCATTCTCAAACTTTGTCGGGCTCTATCCAAGGAAGCCATCAATCAAAAATAAAGATTCTATACCTTTCAGTTCTTCAGAAGAAGTCATTTGAAGCTTTTGACATATATGACCCCTGTGACCTTGAAAGTAGGTCAAACTAGTTTTCATTCTCAAACTTTGTTGGGCTCTATCCCAGGAAGCCACCAGCCAAATATAAAGATTATATACCTTTCAGTTCTTCAGAAGAAGTCGTTTGAAGTGTTTGACACATTTGACCCCTGTGACCTTGAAAGAAGGTCAAGGTAATTTTCATTCTCAAACTTTGTTGGGCTCCATCCAAGGAAGCCATCAGCCAAATATGAAGATTCTATACCTTTTAATTCTTCAGAAGAAGTCGTTTGAAGTTTTTGACATATTTGACCCCTGTGACCTTGAAAGTAGGTCAAACTAATTTTCATTCTCAAACTTTGTTGGTCTCTATCCCAGGAAGCCACCAGCCAAATATAAAGATTCTATACCTTTCAGTTCTTCAGAAGAAGTCGTTTGAAGTGTTTGACACATTTGACCCCTGTGACCTTGAAAGTAGGTCAAGGTCATTTTCATTCTCAAACTTTGTTGGGCTCTATCCCAGGAAGCCATCAGCCAAATATGAAGATTCTATACCTTTTAGTTCTTTAGAAGAAGTCGTTTGAAGTTTTTGACATATTTGACCCCTGTGACCTTGAAAACAGGTCAAGGTCATTTTCGTTCTCAAACTTTGTAGGGCTCCTACCAACGAAGCTTTCAGCCAAATATCATGACTCTAGGCCTGTCTCTTCAGAAGAAGTTGTTTAAAGGAAAAGTTGACGGACGAGGACGGACGGACGGACGGACGGACGGACGGACGGACGGACGGACGGACGGACGGACGGACGGACGGACGGACGGACGGACGGACGGACGGACGGACGGACGGACGGACGGACGGACGGACGGACGGACGGACGGACGGACGGACGGACGGACGGACGGACGGACGGACGGACGGACGGACGGACGGACGGACGGACGGACGGGAGGACGGACGGACGGACGGACGGACGACGGACGCCGCGCCACGGCATAAGCTCACTTAGCACTTCGTGCCAGGTGAGCTAATAACTTAAAGAATAGTGTAAATATAATTATAAAAAAATAACCACGATGATGAGATTCTGTTCTTGTTATCGTTACTTTATTTTAAGAATAGATATAATAATATTTATTAATTCCATTTATGAAATACAAATATGATAAACGATTTCATAAACGTATTGTTTTATACATAAAACGGTATTAAGCTAGAACGACACTTTGATTGAGAATAATAAATTGTAATAAACTAATTGTAAACGAATTTACCTCAATGGGCCTGCACCGCTCATCTGTATATTTAAGCAACCGATATTCTCAAACAAATAATATATGATAATAGGGTTGGGATGTCAGTTATAACCTAAGGGCCAAGTCACCAGAGGCAAACTTGACCAAGGAACGAATCCTGGTAGCATGACTGAGTTCGTCTCTTCATTCCCGGTGAAAATTAGACAAATTCTAAGGCCCGAGGTTGACCAGGGAACAATGCTGGTAGCCAGACTGCTCGAAAAGTGTGTGTGTGTGTTGAGGGGGTGTGGGTGGTGCCCTCACGTTATAAAATACTGATTCCCCTTAGCATAATGATGGTTCTGGCCAAATTTAGGCAAATTTCTTTCAATCTTACTCATGAAGTATGTTAAAATAGAGGGGGCAAGGTAGCATGAGCAGCACAACCTCTGTTTACACAACCTTGCATTCTCTGGCTTAAACTAAATCTCATACTCCAGACCAAATCTTGTGAAAATTCCTTGAGCATTGACTGGTACTGGAGAATGATATTTTAAAGTTTAACATGATCCCCCCCCCCCCCC